TGTAATCCGTAATTCCCCCTAGGAAAGAGGAAAGTACAGAAATCACTAGAGCTGGTACAAAGAGATCTGAGAACACTCCTCTGAATGTACAGGTGTGCAGAGGAGCCAGAAGCAAAGGGTTTGGGCCATCTGGAGTTCACCACTGACCACTGCTCTCTCACTCCCCTCCTCCTCTAGCTAACTGAGTGGAAAATAAGGTTGGGCTGCTGCAGCCTGGGCTTCCCTTCATGCACAGCACTCTGACCTAACCAAGTAGTTTGCAGAATCCCAGGGCCCATTTTGTCATCTTTTAACATCCGTAGTAGCAGGGATAAGCGATGCTGCTTTGATTGGATAGAAGGAGAAAACAGGTTATTGGGATCCAGAAATATCCAACTTTTTAACTGATCACCCAGTGGTTTTTTCTTTTTTTCTTATTTTTGTTCCTAATATTAGAAATTTCTGGTTTGCCTATACTTAAAGTTATATTAAAGAACATAAACCTTGAGATCAGACTGCCTGGAATTCAAAGCCAGCCTTTATCATATTTTAGCTTTGTAATCATGGTCATGTTCCTTAACAATTATAAGCCTCAGTTTCCCCAAATATGAACTGAAAAAATAATATTATAGATATCTCATAGAGTTTTCAGGATTGAAATATATCTTCTATATATGAAATGTCTGGCACTTAATAAGTGCTCAATAAATTTTAGCTATGGTGATCATCATTCATGATTATAACTTCCCATGTAGCATAACAGCAGTTATGCATATGCAATTAATTTGTCATATTATCTTTCTGGTGAGATTCAGAGAGTGTAATGCCTGAGTAAAAGCCTAGTTAGTGAGTGGTAAAGGTAGCATTTGAGTCCAGGTTTTTCTGACTATATACAGCCAGATTTTTATGCTAGAGGTTTCCATAGTAGGTTCATGCTTTAGGACCATTCTTCATCTGTCTACAGAAAAATAAGCAAAATAAGGATAGTGAGGTAAATTTTCATAAAGCTAAAATTATTTAATTTTAAGAACTCATAAGATTGTCCTTCATACTATTTAGTCTAAAAATATCATTTCATTTATGAGATTATGTGAGAGTCAGTGGTTTTATAATGTTGTTATTTGGTAAAATTAAAAAATTTGCAGGTCCCCCTGTATCACTGGTAGAATTAATCCAGGTAACTAATCCTGATAACTGATAATTAATCCTGATAACTCCTGATGATTAATCCTGATAACTCCTTTGAGTTATCAGACTACTGTTTGCTCCTCTAATTAATATGGGCATTGATGATATAAAATACCAAGAAACATTTTAATCTGTTTAATAATCTGGAAAGATAAGAATAGGATGATAATTTATAAAAATTTTCATTAAAAATGTTTAAATCAAATGTTGCCTCTTTTCTAAAGGATTATTAAATTTATCTGGAGATTAGACTTACATGGATTGCTGTAATTTCTAATAATTCTGGATAAATAAGATGTTATTTTACTCGAAATTATAACAGTTATAGGTGACATTATCCGATTAATTTCATTCTGTACACAGGAATACATAGAGTTTTCATGTTTTATTGTTATTTTCCTTAGATTTCGTGGCGTGCATCATGCATTTGCAAAAATCTTGGCTGAAGGAGGAATACGTGGGCTTTGGGCAGGCTGGGTGCCCAATATACAAAGAGCAGCTCTAGTGAATATGGGAGGTAATGGAAACTTTATTCAATTAATAATTATTATTAATTATAATTATAAGCCCTTAATGTCAGGGAAATGACATTTTAATTTTATTATTTTTAATGATGTATATTGGTGACAGGCTGCATAAATGTTGTAATATTATAATTGAATATTTTCTTTAGAACATTTTCACTTTATTCTACTTTTACGTGTAAAAAGGGTTTCATAAGACAGGCAAATTGTGGTAATAAGGAGACAAGGCCCAACTGTTTCTAAGGTCTCTTCTGTAGTCCAGACCTGCCTTTAAATTTAAAACTGATATATGTAACTGTCTGATAATCATTATGTCCTTACTCCTATTCCTGAATAATCCATCTTGTACAGCCTAGCACCCTGGGCTAGAAACTTGAGTGTTCCCTTAACTCATACCTACTCCTCACTTCCCATATTCACTTACCAATTTCTTCTGTCTTCTAAATACTTCTTTTTTTTTCAGCATATTATGGGGGTACAAATGTTAAGGTTATGTATATTGCCCATGTCCCCCCTCCCCTCGAGTCAGAGCTTCAAGCGTGACCATCCCCCAAAAGGTGCATATCTCACTCATTATGTTTGTATGTACCTATCCCCACCTCTCCCCTCCCACCTGCCTGACACTCGATAAATGTTATTCCTATATGTCCACTTAGGTGTTGATCCATTAATACCAATTTGCTGATGAGTACATGTGGTGCTTATTTTTACCTTCTTGAGATACTTCACTTAGTAGAATGGGTTCCAGCTGTATCCAGGAAAATACAAGAGGTGCTATATCACCATTATTTCTTAAAGCTGAATAGTACTCCATGGTATACATATACCACATTTTATTAATCCATTCATGTTTTGATGGGCACTTGGGTTGTTTCCACAACTTGCAATTGTGAATTGTGTTGCTATAAACATTCAAGTGCAGGTGTCTTTTTTGTAGAGTGTCATTTGATCTTTTGGGTAGATGCCCAGTAATGGGATTGCTGGATCAAATGGTAGATTCACTTGTATCGCTTTAAGTTATCTCCATATTGCTTTCCACAGAGGTTGAACTAGTTTCCAGTCCCACCAGCAGTGTAGGAGTGTTCCTATCTCTCCGCATCCATGCCAACATTTATTGTTTGGGGACTTTTTGATAAAGGCCATTCTCACTGGAGATAAGTGATATCTCATTGTGGTTTTGATTTGCATTTCCCTGATAATTAGACATGTTGAGCATTTTTTCATGTTTGTTAGCCATTATTTTGTCTTCTTTTGAAAAATTTCTGTTCATGTCCTTTGCCCACTTTTTGATAGGGTTATTTGATTTTTCCTTGCTGATTTTCCTGAGTTCTAAATAAATTCTAGTTATCAGCCCTTTATCGAATGTGTAGCTTGTGAAAATTTTCTTCCATCCTGTGGGTTGTCTGTTTGCTCTCTTGACAGTTTCTTTGGCTGTGCAGAAGCTTTTTAATTTGATCAGGTCCCATTTATTTATTTGTGTTGCTGCTGTGATTGCCTTTGGGGTCTTCTTCATAAATTCTTTGCCTAGTGTCATCTTTCTTCTTCTACGTAGTTTTCTTAGTAGATCTTTAAATACTCAGCTAAAGTGTCTTCTTCACATGGCATTCTCAAGGGTTCCAGAAACATATCATTAAATATCTAAGGAAGTAAATCTGTTTTCTATTTTGCTATTTTAGTCCATCTAAGCCTACTGCATCATAGTGGTGGATATTTTGATCTTCAGGAAATCTTTTGGATTATAGTTTCTCAATTTGTTGTTTCAAAATCTATTGCAGCTGGATTTCTCATCTAACTTCTAGCTGTTTACTCATAATCTTCATCTGGATATCTCAAGTATATCGCTTTAAATGTGTCCAAACCAAACTCCTCTATCAAACCACTTCCTTATCCATTATTCATAATCTCAAAATACATCACTTTTCTTTCAGTTGTACAAGCCAGAAGCCTAGGCATGATTTTTGACTCTTTCCTTTAACTTGCTCTTTATATCCAATCAGTCACCGAGTCTAGTCAGTTCTATTTTTCAGATATATCACAAATTCACACACTTCTCTCCATCCCTGGAGGTACTCCTTTGTCCAAGTATTATGCATCTCTTTCTGTTGGACCACTACAGAAGCCTCCTAACTTCAATCTGTCCATATTTACCATGTCTTTGAAACTGGTTTTTACAAGGTCACCATTGGCTATCATCTTATTTAAAATATTTTAAAACTGTGAGTTTTCATCTTTACCATCTGCATAAATAACAGGTCTGTTCTTTAACACATTGACAGCCACACTAGAAAAAACATTTTTTCTGGGAGCCACAGTGTTTTATTACAAAAATAGAATAAAGACTTCAAAACAATATGATTCTTTCTAATTTAATGAAAAATTTATGTGTTTTTTTCAATAAAAAAGTAATATAAAAACTTGAAAATTAGTAATGTAAAAAAGTAGGCCGGGCGCTGTGGCTCACGCCTGTAATCCTAGCTCTTGGGAGGCCGAGGCGGGCGGATTGCTCAAGGTCAGGAGTTCAAAACCAGCCTGAGCAAGAGCGAGACCCCGTCTCTACTATAAAAATAGAAAGAAATTAATTGGCCAACTGATATATATATAAAAAATTAGCCGGGCATGGTGGCACATGCCTGTAGTCCCAGCTACTCGGGAGGCTGAGGCAGGAGGATCGCTTGAGCCCAGGAGTTTGAGGTTGCTGTGAGCTAGGCTGACGCCACGGCACTCACTCTAGCCTGGACAACAAAGCGGAGACTCTGTCTCAAAAAAAAATAAAAAAATAAAAAAAAAAAAGTAATGTGAAAATAGTTCATAAGGGTAAAATGTTATTCTTGGCTTGTCAGGCCCAAGTATAAGGTAAAGGTAAACAAATAGAAAAATTAAATTTATTGACTTCTGTTCATTTAATCCAATTTAATATTTAGAATTAAATTGTCAATTATAACAAGAAGAACATCAACAAATATAATTTTCATGAACCAACTGCAGGGTTTTGCCTAGGGGGCCACCCATCACAAACATGTGTGCTACAGCATGGCATCATGAGTTGCCTGTGCACCACCCGGCTCCCAAGGTAAAGAGACATGTGAGTTATATATGCTTCATGAGGCACTGGGCTCAAAACTAATGTGAGTTAAATATAACTCACATGGCAGTTAATGTGTTAAATTATTTACACTCAAAGCCTTGTAGAAAGACATCTTTGATGTCTTTCTCTTACTCCGCATTCAATCTTCTGGCTAATCCTGTTGCTTCTACCTTTAGAAGTTATCCAGAATCCTACCAGGGCTCCACAATTCCCTTATCTAAACCACCATCATCTCTTAGCAGGATTACTGCAATAGTCTCATATCTAATCTGCTTTGTCTCTTTACAATCTACTCTAAACAAAACAGCCAAAACAGAACTATTTGACCTATTAAATAGTCCCCGGGGTAGTCATTCCTCTGCTCAAAACCCTCCTCTGGTTTCTGATGCTCTCTATCGTCTGGACTCTGCTACTTCTTTCATTCTCTGTTTCTGCTAGACCAGTTTTCTGGCTGTTCCTCTCCTCTCCCAAACTGCCTCTTGCCTCAGGACTAGAACACATAGTGTTCTTTTGCCTGAGACACTTTCTCTTTGATACTATGCAGAGGTTATTTTCTCATGCTTCCTTTTAGTCTCTGCCCAAGTGTTACCTTATTGAGAGGCCTTCCCTGATCATCCTGCTTAAAATTCATATACACTGCTCCTCCCTGCCCTCTGGTAATCCCTCTCCCCTTTCCTTGCCTTATTTGTCTTCAGAGCATTTACTTTAAGAACAAGTACTATCTGAAGTGCCATCTAGTTTGCTTTGTTTATTGTCTCATCTCCCAACAGAGAGCAGGAACTTTTTTGTTCATTTTGTCCCAGTTCCTGGAATGCATGCACCCACATATTTGGTGAATGATCAAATGCATCTATCCATTCTTGGCTCGATGCAATTTACTTCCCCATACTTTAGTGTGGGTAGCCCTTATGGAGCTCCAGCATTGTGATGTCCAACCCACCCCCCCTCCCCCATTTAAAATCCTCCCATAGCTCTTTATTGTCATTATAAAAAAGTAGAAAAGGGTTAATGTGGCATAATGGTCAGTACTTTTTGTTTGTAAATGACAGGATCTCAACTCAACCTAACTTTGGCTGAAAAAAGGAATTTATCAGCTCAAATAATGAAAGGCCCAGGGGTTGAGCAGACTTTAGACATAGCTGGATGCAGGTGTTCAGATGATACAGTGTCTCTTCCTCTTTTCCTCTCTCTCCATCTGTAGCTCTGCTTTCCTCCGCTTGAGAATTAAGAGTGGTATCTTCCATCCTGGTACACATTCCTGCCCCAAGCCTAGCATATTTTTGACACAAAAGACATTTACTGTTGAACGAATGAATGTTTAAACCTTCGTTTTCCATTGCCAGATTTAACCACGTATGATACAGTGAAACACTACTTGGTATTGAATACACCACTTGAGGACAATATCATGACTCATGGTTTATCAAGGTAAGTGATTGTTTTAGTTAACTTTTCTGTATTTTTTTTTCTATATTACCTTCTCTTCCATATTTGGGAAAATCTAACATTTAGGTTTTTTTAATTAGAATCTAGTGGTATCACCCTTAGGGAAGGGTTATAGTGCATTTATGAAGGGTGATTCTTAAAGTTGTTACAGTTAAAATGGAGGACACAAGAAGTTGCAGGATATATGAGAATAAACCTCCCAAAATATTTGCACCTTGATGGGGCCCATCCCGACAGTTTCTGATGATCTTCTCCAATTCAACAGATATGCTTGAGCACCTTTAATGTTAAAGGCACTGTGCAGGGCCCTGCAGTGGGTACAACTCCTGCCCATGGAGCTTTCTAAGTATTAAAACACTGTGCAGTAAATGCTAAAGAAGAAAGCAACTAGTTACTGTAGGGTTCAGAGGAGGAAAAAAAATACACCTGGCAGGACCCACAAAAGGAGTAGAATTAGATAAGATTTGAAGGGCTGTGGTTCTCCACAGAGACAAGAAGAAGGCATTCCAGGAAGGACAATACCTTAATTCTTTGTAACACAATTAAAATATCCGTTAGAATGAAATGTTATAATTGTCTGTTATCCTTGACGTTATAGTGATTCATTTAGCTTCTGATCTTGTTTTAAATTCTAGAACCCACTTGTGCTGTTAGACAATCTCAAAAGTATGTTATAATGTCAATCATGTGTATTTGGAGATGTTAAGCACCCCAAGAATATTCCTGACTCAGGGCTTTGCACGTGCTATTCCATCTGCTTCTAATACCTTCCTTCGGGTCGTCACATAGACATATTCTTTTCACACTCAATTCTGCGTCAACCCAAGAGCCTTTCCCTGACTGCCTATCCCAGTTACTCACTATCACGTTCCCCATTTGATTCAAGCCGTATCGGCATCTGAAATTATTTACTTTTCCTCCACCTCTCTCCAAGTAGAGTGTAAGCTCCTCTAGGGCAAGATCCTTACCTCTCTTGTTCCACTCCTGAAAGAATGCCTGGCACCAGCAGGTGCTCAATGCATGTTTTTGACTGACATTCTTTTGTTTTTATTTTCTTCTACCTCTTTAAGGAATTATTTAGCATTAATTTTAGCTAAAAGAGCATTATTATAAGAATATAAGATATATAATAATATATTTGGTATTCTATTCTTTCTAAATATCAAATTCTCTTTTTAAAATAGAAACTACTGCATATTATCTTTCCATTTCATTTATTTGTATTCATAGTTTATGTTCCGGACTAGTAGCTTCTATCCTGGGAACGCCAGCCGATGTCATCAAAAGCCGAATAATGAATCAACCACGAGATAAACAAGGAAGGTAGATTGAAAGCCTTCAATACTCATGTGCTTCGATGGCTATAATAATACTGTTCTTTAAAGATCCTTTCCTGTGTGTATTCTGGATATTTTTTGTGTTCAGTGGGAAAATTGTTTTTATGCAAATTACCTGCTGTTTGTCCGATGAAAAAGTGCTATGCATTTGGGGAAATAAGCTAATTAACAGTTATATTAGTTAGACACGAGGTATTTTTTGTGACTTTATTGTTTTCAAAGAGTTTTTGAAAAGCATACTCTACCATGAATTTACAGAGCACTTTCTTCAGAAGCTTATGACTTACAGGTAACCTGGAGACTTTTATTTGGTATAAAATAGTATGTTCTTTCTGGAAGAAATCAGGTGGAGTGAATTCTAAGTATAAGACCAAGGATGGGAAGAATCAGAATAGTCAGCCTTGAAAATATCTTTAAGCTCAAAAGAATTTAACCATATCTGTAGAACCACAAATATTATTTGTTCTAAACTAGCAGAAAATATTTAACTTATAGTAAGTTTACTTAGACTATTTTGTTTTATTTATATATCTTTTTACACAGGAGAAATTTAACAAAATTGTCTTGTTTTCTTTGTAGGGGGCTTTTGTATAAATCCTCAACAGACTGCTTGATTCAGGCTGTTCAAGGTGAAGGATTCATGAGTCTATATAAAGGATTTTTACCGTCGTGGCTGAGAATGGTAAAGTTAGATTTTTTACTTCCTTTTTTTTTTCCTTTCTTTGTACTTAAATTATTTTTAATCTGTAAGTATTTTCCCTTTTCTCTTCTGATTTACAGCATGGCCCCCAAATCAAGGTCCTTTCTCTCTTTTAAAAATTTTTTTTTTGTTTTCTTTAATCTCTTCTGAAAGTCATGTTGCCTTCCTTAATAGATTAAGGTAAAATAAATAAGTTACATTCATTAATGAATAGGTGGATATGTTTTCTGTGGTATAAAACCTTTGATAATCTATTTAGTTATATTTTAATATAGTAGTCTGGGAAAGGTATACAAATTTTACAGTAGAGACCTTTCCTATGAAAATTTTACTCTTTCAAACAAAATTTGTTACTTTGATGGCAAATGTTATATTACTCTTTAATACTTATTACCACAAAATTCTGCTTAGTTAGAAACTATTATGTCATTTTTATTTGGTTTAGGTGTTATTTTTTTTATTGACGTGAACTAAGATATAGAATTAGATGGGTTTAAGTAATATAGCAAATAAAGACAAAGACTCGTGTCTTTTCTAAGTTAGAAAACATTTGAAAGAATGTTGAGTTATGGGTTTAGAAATTCAAACAATCAAAAATTAACATAATATATTATATATTATGTTATATATAATGCCATATTTTTATATATACATATTTAATTGAGTACCTATGCCATGCAAAGCCCTATACTCAGGGCTTAGCTTTGAATAAGAAGCTGTAAGTGATGAGTGTCATGGGAAGAGTACATGGTGCTATAAAAATATACAGCAGATAAGTACAGCCTAGGCTGGGGGACACAAAAACTTTGCCGGAGAATGGATTTTAAATTGAGATTTGAAGAATAAGTAGAACTTAGCCAGGTAAAAAGAACAGAAAGAAACGTTCTCTTTAAAGGGAAAGTTGGAGTGGACAGAAAGCACGATGAGTTCAGGGAACCGAAGGAAACCCAGCAGGACAAGGCACAGAGACCTGGTGGGGAGAGACAGACATCAGTGTGGGAAGTCCATGGGAGCCAGAAGAGTAGTGGCACCAGCCTACATCATCAGCATTTTTAGAGAAATCATTCTGGCTGCCATGTGTATTGGGAAAAGGCCAGGAATAGTGATAACTGAGAGATAATGGTGGCTTGAATGAGAGTATGATGTGGGGACAGATGCTAAAAAAAATTGGGGTGGTAGAAAGGAAATGGAAATATGACTGATCTGATAGGGACGGGGGAATGTCCCTATCAGATAAGGAAAAGTCAGGCTTCATTCCCAGATTCCTACTGTGAGCAACTGATAATGATATAATTTGCTAAATAGGGATCATTGCAGGGAAGAAGATTTGGGGGTAAAATAAGTGGATATGTGATATTTTGGATACCTATAAGGCATCTGAGCAGAGGTGTCCAGATGACTAACTTAATACATTGGTCTGGATCTTAGGAGAGAATACAGGAATGGAGATTTAGATTTGAGCACTGCCTGCATATAGATGGTAATTGAAGCTTTGGTAATAAATATCAGTAAGGGATAGTGGGTATTTATTTATTAACATGAAATTAATGGCCAAAGCCCTTGGCAATATCTGATACAAAAGTGTACCAGAGTTAAAAATTTTTTTTGATGGTCTTGATTATACCTTAAAATTATGTCAAAACAATGGCTATTTCTTACTGCAAAGGTAGATTTTGATTTGGCTTGCATGAACCAAGCACTATTATAGGTGCTGGTAACACTAAGGAATGAGAGCTTTTGCACTAGAGGGGCTTACAGTGAGATGTAGAAGTTAAACATGTAGATATTTAAAATTACAGAAATAATAAATAGTATTAAATCACTTGGTATATAGCCAAAACTACTAATCACTTTTATGGATTAACTCATTGAATTCTCCCAATAATCTATGTAGAAAGTTACTATCCTATCCCTCTTTTATAGAGGAGGAAACAAAAGCATCAAGAGTCTAAATAACTTGACCAGGATAGGGTGGTTATTATAATAACTAGTGGTTCAGGGTATCAAATTCAGGCAGCCTGATGCCAGAGAACCTAGCCTCACTAAGGGGGTTGTATTAGTGCTCTGCCAGTGATGTGAGCAGTACTCTCTGGGAAACAGATAGTAGAGTAAAAATGGCTGTAACTGTGTTTGGGAAGTCACAAAAGGCTTCACAGTACCGATATTTGATTGGTAGGCATATGTCAAGAGAAATATGAGGGAGCAACATGAGCATAGGCATCATGTCATTGTAGGCCTGTTATGTTTGAAGAACTGCAGAAAATTCAGTGTGTCTGGAGAATAAGTCCTCAGAGAGGAGGTGGAAGGAGACAAGGCTAGAGGAGTACTTAAGGACCAGGTTGGGCAGGACCTTTTTGACCCAGCTGAGTATTAATAGTTCAGGTGTAACCCTGTAGTCAACAAGCACCTGTAATCACCTGTAATAAGTGTCCTCATCCTATAGTCAGCAAGTACCTGCTTAAGCACGAGAGCAATGTGCTAAGATTTGTTTGTCAGTGAGATTACTTTGGAAGCAGTATAGAACATACATCGAAAGCTAGATTATAAGAAAGTAAGTTTTAGCAGTGGTCTAGCCGTTAGATGATTGTAGAAATGGAGAGAAGAGAGATTTTAGGGAGATTTATAGTTAACTCCACAGGTTAGTAACTTATTATATGTGGAAGGCAAGGGAAAGCAAAAATAAAATAACACTTTTATGTTTCTAGTGTGGGAGGGTAGGAGAATGGGTGAGACTATCGCTGAGATACAAAATCAGGGTTGAGAGGATGAAAGGCATGGATATCCAAGTACAAAGGATGAGACTACTTAATCTGACCCATTCTCTTTATACATGAGACGCAGGAAGTATAATATAAATGACAAAAAAGAGTGCATAACACATGCAAGCTCTACATACATTAACTATTTTAAAAATTTTATAAGGACCTGGTAGAACAGGTAGTGTTATCCTCGTTTTTCAGATGAGGAAACCATGGCTCAAAGGGTAAGGAACTTGCTCAAGTTCACGTAGCTGTTATGTTGCAGAGCTGGGAATGGACTGCAGGCCTATTCCACTCAAAACCCCATGCTCCTCCGTAATACAGACTACTGAGTTGCTCAGGATCCTGCAGCTAGTCACAGAAGGTTTAAAAGAGACAGTTTGTAGTTAAGAGGTGTATTACCAGAGAAAGGCTGGCTGACCACCAAACGTGTTGTTTCCTTGTTGATTTGCCATAGTATGTGAGGCTGAGTTCAGAAATCTGACTCATCAGCACTTCCAAGTAAATCGGCCTTGGAAATACAGAACTCGCCTCAGCTGACTCCATTGAAACTGATGGTCAGGCCAGACGATCTGGCTTATTCGCATCTTACAACACATTTGGCGAGTGATCCAGATGCTCAAGTCCTCAGGCCAACAGTGTGTTTCCTCCTAAATTCAAGTTATTTGGGAACCCAAGTAATAATCAAAAAGTTA